AGAGATGCAGTCAGGTATAGATAGGGAAAGGAGGCCCCGGACTGGATTTAGAGTCCTTGCATGACCTGTTTGACCATGGGCCCAAGTCACTGCCCCTTTCTGGTCCTCAGTATCCTCACCTGTAAAATGGGTATAAAAATGCACCTGCCTATCTCACAGGGTGGTCACAAGGAAAGCACCTTGTAGGCCACCAAAGTACCACAGGAAAAGTCACAGAAGCAGAGGTTGGAAAGAAGGAGGCTGATCCCAAAGGCCAGGAAAGGCCCAGAGACAGCTCTTCAGACCCCTAATCAACAATCATTAAGTGCCAGGTACTGAGCTAATCTCTGGGGACATGTTAAAAATGAGATTATCCCTGCCTTTGAGGAGCAGAGAACTGTTGAGGAAGACCCTCTGTGCTCCTATCCGTGTCTGCAACAGCTGGACATTAAAGACAAGGTAATTTGGAAGGTGGACACTAGTCACTGGGGGAACTGGAAATCAGGAAAGACTTCTTGTAGGAGGCGTCACCTGGGCTAAAGTTGGTAGGAAGGAGGAGGTAAAGAGGGAATGAATTCTAGGCACAAAAGAGTCTTGTGAAGGAGGCGAGAAAGGAATGCTGCAGGGTGAAGATTAACAAGTAGGACTCCTTTCCCACATCCCCATGCCTAGGGCCAGAAAGAGGCAGCCCGCCCCGCCTTGGCATCACCAAACCCACACTGCACCCAGACACACCCACAGACCTCAGCAGAGCTGTCCAGCATGGCACCTGACCTCTGCCCCAGGTAGTGAACTCCCTGTCACTGGAGGTTCTGCTCCCCTAAGGAGCTCAGTGTGGGTGTGGTTATGGGTTCTATTCTAAAAGAGTTAGACCTCCTCTCAGGGAGAGTAGAAGAGACCCCAGAACAGGGTAGATCTAGATGGATAGATGGATGCATGCATGCATGGATGGATGGATGGATGGATAGATAGGTAATAGATGAATTGAGAGAGATAGAAGATTGATGAGAGACGGTAGTGGCCAGCTAGGTGGTGCAGTGGATAGAACACATGGCCTAGAGTCAGGAAGACCTGAGTTCAAATCTACCCTCAGACACTAGCTGTGTGATTTTGGGCAAGTTACTTCACCCTGTTTGCCCCAGTTTTCTCATCTGTAAAATGATCTGCCAAGAAAACCCCAAATGGGGTCAAAAAGAGTCAGACACAATGTAGATAGAAGTGAATGGGTAAAGATAGTAGAGAGATAAAAAGATAGAATTATATATGATATCCAGTGTGTCTGGATACACACACACACACACACACACACACACACACACACACACACACACACACGAGAAGACAACAAAGTGAGACCAGAGGGATCCCAGGCAGCATTGGTGTCCAGAACAAGGCAGGGGACAGTCCCTGGCCTGGGACTGGAGTCACCTCTGGGCACCATGTTTTAGGGAGGACACTGACAAGCTAAAATGTGAGATGCCAGTTCTATGCCTTGCATTGACTCTCCTTCCCAGCTTACACCATCTGCCAATCTGATGTCAGGCTATCTACACTTTTATTCAAGTCACTGAGGAAAACATCAGCCAGGGCCAGGGCCAGACTCCTGTGAATAATGGCTTGGGGTGGGGGTAGGGGGCTCTACTCTTTGGATCCAGTCACTCAGTCAGGCAGTTCCAAATTCAGTTGTTACCATCCATGGCCAAAGTCCAAATAGAAGCCATCTTTCTCCTAAGCTTACATGACTTTTGTTCTGACAGTATTTTGTTCTTTAGACAACAGCAGACACTCACAGATGCTTTGTCCTCTTGGAGATATTTAAAACTGGATTTTATGTGAGTTGGTCCAAAATCTCTCTTTTCAGGGATTAATTCTGAGTTGAATGTCTACATGCGTAAGGTGAGAATTTCTCTTTTCCTGACATGCTGCTTCTGATGGGTATGGCTAACCCCAAAGATGCCTTGAATAAATTCCTTTTTGTATATTAAAAAAAAATGTGCCCAGGGTAGGCTGGCCAAGGGGATGAGGCCCATGAGGAACTGATGAAGTAATTCAGGGTGTTTGTCCTAAAGAAGGGAAGGGAAGTCCTGGTGGGAGAGGGGGGGAGATTGCTGAGATCTCCAGGTATTTGAAGAGCTGGTTACTAAGAAGAGGGATTAGCTTTATTCGCTCTGGTCTCAGAGGGCAGAAATGGGCACAGTCGGGTGGGAATGGGGATGAGACAGGAAATGGGCAGAGAGTTGGGGATCGGCTCCATGTAAGGAAAACCTCCCTAACCTGTCCTCCAATGGAAGAGGCTGCTGTAGAGTAGAGAGTCTGCCCTCATTGGAAGTCTGCGGGCGGAGGGGGAATGACCACTCATTGGGGGTGTGGCCAGGACTAGATGCCCTGGGAGGCCTTGGCTAGTTCTGAGATTGTCTGACTCTGATTCTCCCTCTAAGCTAGCTTTCAAGGCTGTAATTTCTGAAGTCCGATAATAATAATGATAATGATAATAACAAAATAATTAAAATGTCAAATAAAAATAATGATGATGATGATGATAATTAAGATATTAGCTAGAATTGATACGGAGCTTCAAGGCTGGCAAAGACCTTTACAAATAGTAGCACATTTCATCCTCACAACAACCCCAGGAGGGAGATGCTGTTCTCATCCACAATTCGCTGTTTTTCAGTCATGTCTGACTCTTTGTGACCCCATTTGGGGTTTTCTTGGCAAAGATACTGGAGTGGTTTGCCATTTTCTTCTCCAGCTCATTTTACAGATAAGGAAACTGAGGCAAACTAGATTAAGAAGTGTATATATGAGGCTGGATTTGAACTCAGGAAGATGAGTCTTCCTGACTTCAGGCTCAGCACTCTATCCACTATTCCACCTCGCTGCCATCCTTAATTTACAAATTAGGAAACAGAGACATATAGAGATTAAATGACTTGACCAGGGTAACACATCTAGGACAGGTCTGAAGCTAGATTTGAACCCAGGTCTTCCTGACTCCAAGGTTTCATCCACATTCTTATCTGTGGTACCACCAAGCTTACAATCGAAAAGGAGAAAGCACACGTACTAAGAAAATGTCTATGAAACATGGCACAGTGGGGTAGGTTCAGAGAAGGGGGCCGGGCAAAGGGATGGAAGAAATGAGGGGGAAGTAATCAAGGAAGACTTCCTGGAGGTGGTGGCTCCTAAACAGCCTTGAAGAAGCGGGGGGGGGGGGGGGGGGGGTTCAACAGGAGATGGGAAAGAGAGGAGCAGGCCCTTCCAGACGTGAGAGACAACAGGAACAAGGCTTGGGAACTGGAGAAGGCCAGATGAGAAGGGGGGTCAGGAGCTGTGGCTGGTTTTTTAAAAACAAGTGCCATAGTTTGGCTAGAAAATGGAGGATGTGAAGGGTGAGTAGTGAGAGACAAGGCTGGACCAATAGGTTAGAGCCAGGCTGTGGAAGGCCTTGAATGCCAAGACCAGGAGTTGCTGTTTAGTGCATTGTTTGTCCTTGAGCATTTGACCTGGGGAAATGTTCTCCAAGCAGACCCTTCGAAGAACCCTTCCTTTTGGCAGCTGGGGAGGGGGGTCCCAGTGGGGAGAGATGGCAAGCAGTCAGACCATGGAGAGGTGACATAGATCATGCGGGAGGTCGTGAGGCCCGGGGGGGGGGTAGACGGGGTCTGGCTCTGTAAGGGAGGGGCTGGTGGGGAGATAGAGACAGGGAGGAGGCCTCCGAAAGGTGAGAGAGCCCAGTGCTCAGTGTGAGGCCAGGCAGGTCCAGAGTCTTGTGCTCCCCAGGGAGAAGGCTCTCGGGAGGGAAGTGTCTACCTGAGCTCAGATTGTCCCCTGGGCCGGCACACTCACATTCCCTAGCACAGTGAATCCAGGCCAGCTCCCCTGGAATCTCCCAAAAGAGGGATCACCTGTGCGGGCTGCCATTCCAGACCTCATTCCATTCTTCCCTGAAAGAGAAAAAAAAACATCTGGTGGAATTTGTGAGCATGTGGAAACAGGGAGGTCTCTGGGGTAACTTGTGTAACCTTAAAAGGAGCGTAGCTTCCCAGAGCTCCCTGGGGGCTGGCCCGGGAAAGTGGAGGAGACCTGGGGAGCCAGGTAAAGGCCCTTGGTCGGGCTGGGCTGGGCACTGCAGCTGCAGTCGACCTGGGGACTAGTGTCGGAGGGGTGGAGTCATTCAGGGGTCTGTTTTCTTAGGTGTAATATAGGTGAGAGATTAGCTAATCTGAAAGGCTCCTCACAGCCCTGACACTTCCTATTCTAAGGGCCCTCCTGGCTCTGACATTCCCTGTTCTAAGACCCCTCCTAGCCCTGACATCCCCAGTTCTAAGGCCCTCCCAGCTCTGACATTCCCTGTTCTAAGGCCCTCCTAGCTCAGACATCCCCAGTTCTAAAGCCCTCCAAGCTCTTACACTCCCTGTTCTAAGACCCCTCCCAGCCCTCACATTCCCTGTTTTAAGGTCCTTCTCAGCCCTGACATTCCCTGTTCTAAAGCCCCTCCCAGCACAGACACTCCCTATTCTAAGACCCCTCCCAGCTCTGACATTCCCTGTTCTAAGGGCCTTTCCTGCTCTGACATTCTGATTCTAGGACCCCCAGAGAGGGTCCTGCCAACCTCCTCCCCCTCTGACCAGCAGGCCTCGTACGTTCTAGCACCCTCTCCCAGCACCAGATAGCCCTCCTGCTCTGGGCCTCACAGCTGGCCTCTGAGTTCCTGGAGTTCATGTGATTTTGGAGAACTGTCCTCCAACTCCCCCTCCCACTCTGACCCCCACTCCCAACCCCCACATCCTCCAGCACAGTCATCGGAAAACTGCCATGAGAGAAGACGCTAAAGATAGTCAAGACACTCTCCCGACTTCCCCAATTCTCAGTAGCCCCAGGTCAGTTTCCGTGAGGCTGCCACCGCCGGGCCTTCGTGCTGTTCCCATAAGGACACCCTAGTTCCCATGGAGACTGTAGCCCTTAGGAATAAGCCTTATGTCCGCACCAGCCCCCAGATGCCAAGGGAACATGCCAAGCCCTGGGGGCAGGTCAGCCATCCTAGGGACCCACCTGGAGCTTATGGTTATACCCATCACACCTTAAGCCCCTATGGACACGCCAACTGCCAGAGATCCATCCTGGAAACACTGGCCAGTCGGAGAGACGCACCAGCCTTCTTGTGCCCCAATCAACAGCAGCCACCGGCCTCTTCTCACCATCTCTGTTTCCAGCCCAGGTCAGAGGCTTCAGGCAGGTCTATGGCCACAGCAGTCCCACTTCTCAGTTGGGAGGTGCAGTTCCTTCTAGGAAAATGGCATTGGGGACTTGGGGGGGACTTTGTAAGGAGCCTTGAATGCCAGGATGAAGAAAAGGAAGGAAGAGGATACATGGGCCATATTTCCCGGCTGAGAGTTTGTGGGAGAAATCAGCGATCACTCTAGGCTCTGGTTCTTGTCGGGGTTATTATTTGGGAGAGGGGTAAGAGGGAAGATGTTGGTGCAAGTGGAGAGAGGACAAGACTCCCTTTTAAGAACCCCTTCGTTGGTATAGTACCCCCTAGTTACAAAGACTTTTTCATTCATTCTCTTGTTTTTGGAGGCAATTGGGGTTAAGTGACTTGCCTAGGGTCACACAGCTAGGATGTGTCTGAGGTTAGATTTGAACTCAGGTCCTCCTGACTCCATGACTGGTGCTGTATCCGCTGTGCCACCTAATTGCCCCAATCCTTTGAACCTTGACACCTGGAGAGGGAGATGGGGCAGCACCTCACACATTCCACCCATTTTACAGCAGAAAGAACACTAGGCTTGGGGTCGGGGCGATCTGGGTTCAAGTCTCAGCCCTTAGTTTTCCCAAATGACTCCCCCGAGGCTGCCATAGTGACATTAGCAGAGCCACGAACGGCCGCTAAGCATCCTGACTCCCATCCCAGGGCTCTCACCACTGCCTGGCCTGCCTCACATCCCCCACTGCTGCTGCAGAGGCTGAGCTTTCTAGGGACTCGTGAGCCAGATGTGCTTGTGTGAGGGAAGGACAGAGGAGGAGTCCCAGACACAGCAACTTCTGCAAAGCCCGTAGAGGAAAGATGAAGTGAGAAAAGCCAAGGAGCCAGATGGTAAAGCCTCCTTCTGGAATCTTGACCTGACCCTGGGGGCTGTGTGTGCCTGTGTGTGTGTGTGTGTGTCTTGTGTGTGTATGTCTGTGTGAGTGTGTGTGTGCATGTGTGTGAGTGTGTGCATGTATGTGTATGCCTGTGTGAGTGTGTCTTGTGTGAGTGTGTGTCTTCTGTGAGTGTGAGTGTGTGCATGTGTGTGTATGCCTGTGTGAGTGTGTATGTCTGTGTGTGTATGTGTGCATGCGTGTGTGTGTGCCTGTGTGTGAGTGTGTATGCCTGTGTGTGTGTCTTGTGTGAGTGTGTATGTCTGTGTGAGTGTGTGTGTGCATGTGTGTGAGTGTGTGCATGTGTGTGTATGTATGTCTGTGTGTGTGAGTGTGTGTGGGTGTGTCTCTCTGTGTCTCGGTGTGACCTTGGGAAAGAATTAATAACGCCAACAGCAAGAATAATGATGATGGTGGTGGGATAAGGAGGGAACAGCAGCTCTGATTTCAGGAGGACTCCCGGGTGGATACAACCCCTCCACGGATGCTGATCAGCACCTTCTCTGAAGTTCTCCACAGTTGCCCAGGGGTGCTGACAGGTTCAGGATGGGCCAAAGGCCAATCACTAGCATTCACATAGCACCTTAAGGCTCAAGGTCCTTCTCATAAATTCTCTCTTGATCCCCCACAAGAACCCTGAGAAGTAAGAACAATAGAATGGACAGGCAATCAGATTTAGAGTTGCCGGATGTGGGTTCAAATCCTGCCTGTATCCTGTGCTACCCAGGTGACCTTGGATGAGTCTCTTCATCTTTCTGGGCCTCAGTTTCTCCATTTGTAAAATGTGAGGTTTGGACTAGATGGGCTCTGCGACCCCTTCTGAATCTGAGGCCCAGACAGGAAGCGGGCTGCCTGCCAGCACATGCTGGATTCACACACGGGTCCCTTCTCTAAACAGTAGTATAAAAGCAATGGATTCCCAACTTCCTTCCTTTCACGGCTTTCCCTCTTATTTCCTGTTTCTCCCATCTATAGCTTGTCTGTGCACATCTGCTTCCTCGTTAGACTGCGAGCCCCCCAGGAAGCTTTGGCCTTTCTTTGTATCCCTAGCACTTAGCATGGTGCCTGGCACATAGTAGGAGCTTAATAAATGCTCGTTGACCAGCTGATGAAATATGACTGAGCCCTGAGTAATGATGAAAGGCATAGTTTCAGAGAAACCTGGGAAGACTTATGAACTGATGCAGAGGGAAGTGAGTGGAATCAGAACCATTTCTACAGTAACCACACTGAAAAATAAGGAATTTTGAGAGACTTTTTCCTGACTCTGATCAATGCAGTGACCAGCCAGGATGCCAGAAGACCGAGGATGAAGGCTCCTGAAGGAAAGGCGATGGGCTCTGATGCAGAACGAGACCTACTTTGTTTGAGCCTGGCCATGGTAGGAATATGTGTTGTTTCAACTGTTTGTACTTTTTACAAGGGTTTTCTTTTTTCTTTTCTTTTTTTTTAACAGTATGGGGGAGGGAAGGAAAATAAATGCTTTTTTCATTGAAACAAATACAATAAAATTAAAATGGTTTTTAAAAAAAGAAATAATGCTTAATTGTCAGAGATCTTGAGTGCCCCGAGGGTCAGATGCCAGGTACTGTTTTCATTTCTGAGGAGGATGAGATGTTCATGCCAAGTGAAAATTCCTAACTCCTCCAACTGGGGCTAAGAAATCCAGTTACCTCTCCAGAATCCCAAGATCTGCCCTTCACAGGCATCCTCACCACAGTCCCTCCTTTCCTAAGCTGCTGCTGGCTTTTAAGAAACCGGGGGAGGTCTTTTTTTGGTTTTTTAACACCCCCCCCTCCTAGTCTGTTTCTCTTGTCTCTGTTCCTCTCTCCCTAGCCCATCCCCCCTTATTTGTCCCTTTGTCTTGTCCTCTTAGCCTGCTGATGTCCCCCACTGGTGACATGTAGCCCCTGATCCAGATGTGAAGCTGTGGATGGGATGAGCCAGGCCCTTTGACAAAGCTGTCCCCTCTCTCATCCCCAGAAAAAAATGGAAAGGATTGACAGACAGAGAGACAAAAAGAAGGACAGAGGGAGAGAGGAGACAGACAGACACAGAGACAGAGGAGAGAGACAGAGACAAAGAGAGAGGGAGAGGAGAGAGAGAGACAGGAGAGCTGGGGCAGGGGTTGGAGGGAGAGACAGAGAGAGAGAAAGACAGAGGGAGAGAGGAGAGAGACAAAGAGACAGAGAGGAAGAAGGCAAGAGATAGACAGACAGACACAGACATAGGGACAGAGGAAGAGAGAGAGAGAGAGGAGAGCCAGGGCAGCGGGGGGGGGGGGGAAGAGACAGAGAGCCTTTTGTGGGAAATGAAATCTCCCCCTTGCCCTCTCATCCAGAGGAAAAGCACCTTCTGTCCTAGGATCATAGGATTTAGCATCCCCCTTAATATCCCCACCCTGTCCCCACCTATTTATAGGTGAGGATCTAAGGACAGATACCTAGAGAGGAGGAGGAAGTAGCCCAAGGCTGGTGGCAGAGCCTGGACTGGAGCCCAGGTCCTCTGGTGACAATGCTGAATTCTTTCTATTTCACCAGGTTGTTCCCCTGGGTAAGTAGCTTGGGGGGGGGTGGGGGGAGGAGGGGCCTATGGGTGGGGACCCTCTAGAACATCAGCATCTTCTTTTCTTCCACTCTCTTAGACTTCACATTGTAAAATGTCAGTGATGGGACGGACTTTCAAGCTCGCCCATCCCAGCCTTCCTGAGTTGACAGGTGAAGAAATTAAGGGTCAGAAAGGGGAGAGATTTGCCCAGTCCCCTGGGGTCCCTAACTCCAGTTTGGAGTTCTTTCCACTTCCCAGTCCTGTCTCTTTCCTTTCCCACTCCCCTCCTCTGGAGAGTTTCATCTTTCCTATGGCAGACCTGAGGACAGAAGGTGAAAGGAGAGAGGGGGATGGGATTAGGAGAGGCTGCCTCCCTGCCCCTTTCCTGGCCCCTCTCTGGGTCTCCCAGTGGAATTCTGGTGTGGCCACCCCAGGTGTGGCAGTGTGGGTGTTGGCTGGCGGCTCCTGCTCTGACAGCCAGCTCTGGGGACTCTGCCTGAACCATCATGCCTGACTTTTCCTATGGGTGAGGTGGGAGGGGAAGCAGAGCGGAAGCACAAGACCAGGAGGCAGCAGCCTGTCCCAGGGCCCCTTCCCATCTCCACCTCACCTCTTCCTACGCCTGTCTCTGTCCTACAATCTCCTCGCCCTCCTGCCTTCTCACCGAGGCAGCCCTGAGCAGTTGGCCGAGCCTCAATGCAAGAGGACTTGGGGCCCAGAGGTCTGGCCTGGCCGCTGTGGAGGTGCAGCATCTGCTGCTGGCTGTGGGCGGCTGCCACGCTGGGCGGAGGAGTTCCCTTCTCTATGCCTCAGTTTACTCTTCTGCAAGATGAGGAAACAAGGGCCAAGGGAGCGTGGACAAGTCCCTGACATCCTCCCCAGCTCTGACACTCCATGTTCTAAAATCCCTCCTGCTGTGATGTTCCATGTTCTAAGGCCCCTCCCAGCTCTGGTGTTCCATGTTCTAAGGCCCCTCCCAGCTCTGGTGTTCCATGTTCTAAGGCCCCTCCCAGCTGTGATGTTCCATGTTCTAAGGCCCCTCCCAGCTCTGGTGTTCCATGTTCTGAGGCCCCTCCCAGCTGTGATGTTCCATGTTCTGAGGCCCCTCCCAGCTCTGGTGTTCCATGTTCTGAGGCCCCTCCCAGCTCTGGTGTTCCATGTTCTGAGGCCCCTCCCAGCTCTGATGTTCCAAGTTCTGAGGTCCCTCCCAGCTCTGATGTTCCAAGTTCTAAGGTCCCTCCCAGCTCTAACATCCTCTGTTCTAAGGAGAGCCCTTAGAATAGGGAATGTCAAAGCTGGGAAGGCCCTTAGAACAGAGCATGTCAGAGCTGGGAGGGCCCCTAGGACAGAGTGTGTCAGAGCTTAGAACAGGTAATGTTAGAACAGGGAAGGCCCTTAGAATAGGGAATGTCAGATCTGTGAGGACCCTTAGAATAGGGAATGTCATAGCTGGGAAGATCCTTAGAACAGAAGATGCCAGAGAAGGAAAGTACCTTAGAACCGAGGATATCAGAGGTGGATATAAAAATCATTTAGTCCAATCTACTCATTTTGCACAGAAGGAAACTGAGCTATGGAGAGATAAAGTGACTTGCACATAGTAGGAGGCAGTCAGGATGTGACTTGAGTCTTCTGACTCTTTGCAAGAGCCCCTGAGCTCTCTCAGAGGGGATTGAAGGGGGCCAGAGTTGCCCTCTCAGAGCCTCTCCTATGGGCTTGGTGCCCTCTCCCCAGCCCGGCTTGGCGGGGCTCCCAGGGATTCCTGAAGCTGGAATTCAGAAAAGTCCTGGCGTGTGCTGGAGGCCTCTGGCCTGCTGGGGCACCTCCTTGCAATCAGACTGGGCATCCCACCAGACTCCTAAGGAGAGGGGAGAGGGAAGGAAGGACAGGACAGGACATGACTGAGGGGGCACATAAAGGGGAGAGGAGGGTGGCCTAGAATCTGGGACCCTGTGACAATGGGCCGTGGACAGCCGCCGGGGGGGGGGCCCCCTCAGTAGAAGAATGTTGGCAAGGGCCTAGTGGGCAGGGGGCAGGCCATGGCAGGCTGGGGAGGTGGAGGTGGGCGGGACCACCCACTCTGTGAGGATGAGCCCTTGAGGAATTTTCCATCTCAGTCCCCAGGACTGTCACCCCAATCTCTAAGCTCCTCCCAGCTCTAGAGCCCCATGGCAAAGACTCCAAGAGGTTTCTGGTGCTGCCCAAGGTTCCACCTGATAGCGGGTTTGCCTTCTCCCTAGGAGCCTTTCTGACACAGCCAGGCCTACGAGATCTCTCCCTCCTAACTGAGGCTGAGACAGGGGATTTTTTTCTTTCTTGTCTTTGTCTACCCAATGTCTGGCACAAATTCCTAGCCCTGAACTGTCATTGATAATCCTGTGAATTGAAACAAGATGGGAATCGCAAGTAAAAGCATACTGTGAACCTTTTTTTTTTTTTGGTGAAGCAATTAGGATTAAGTGACTTGCCCAGGGTCACACAGCTGGTGAATGTTATGTGTGTGTGTGAGGTCAGATTTGAACTCAGGTCCTCCTGACTCCAAGGCTAGAGAGCAGTGGAGGGTTCAGATTTCTATTCAGAGATGATTTCCATTCAGCAGTGAGTGCCCAGCTGAGAGCAGATGGCAAGCGTTTGTGTTAGACTGAGTCACCACAGCTTTGGGGCTTCTCCATCAGTACTCAGAGGCTGGCTCAGGAGTCAGGCCAGAAACATTGGACAGTGAGAGTGACCTGGGGTTGGACCTGAGCAGGGAAGGAGCAGAGAAAGGTCAAATCGAGGTGAGGGCCTCAAGTGGGGAGGGAGAGGCTGACTGGGCTACCTGTTGGGTCAGGAAGTGAAACCAAGGCAAAAGACATGGCCAGAGGTGGGGGGTCTGGGGTGGGGGGACAAAGAGGGAGACATCAAGAGAGGGAGGGAGAGAAGCCGGGGAGAAGAAAGACAGGAGATTGGCATCAGAGAGGGGGATTTCAGAGCTCAGGGTCTCAGAGGCAGGACCTTAGCCCTCACGGTGCTGTCCAAGGTGGGGAGATTCCCAAACTGAGAACACAGCAATGATAATGAATAGTCTTGAGTCAAGAAGAAATACAAACTATTCCTCCTTGCCTTCTTTACAGAGGTGGGAGACTGGAGGCGAAACATTTTATACACTGTCAGATTTGATTGATGGGGTAGGTTAATTTTGCTGAATAAGTTTTTTTTTTTAAATGTTGGTTATTATAATAATAGTACTTCTATAATGCTTTAAGGTTTGCTGAACACTTTATAAATATTATCTCACTTGGTCCTTACAGCAACCCTGGAAGTAGGTGCTCTTATGATTCCCATTTTATAGATGAGGAAACTGAGGTAGACAGGGATTAAGTGACTTGCCCATGGCCACACAGCTGGGAAATGTCTGGAGCTGAATTTGAACTCACGTCTTCCTGACTTCACACCCAATACTCATCTCTGCCCCCCTTAGGCAACTGGGGTTAAGTGACTTGCCCAGGGTCACACAGCTAGTAAGTGTCAAGTATTTGGTCTGAGGCCGGATTTGAACTCAGGTCCTCCTGACTTCAGGGCCAGTGCTCTATCCACTGGGCCACCAAGCTGCCCCTACCCAATACTCTTATCAACTATGCTACCTGCTTCCCTGGGTAAGGACAGTGAGGAGGAATATAATGGGAAATTAAGGTGATGTAAAAACAAAAACACCAATAATTTTTTTTTAAATCTACATGTTCAGAATGAAGGGGTTGGATTAAATGACCTCTCAGGTTCCTTTCAGTTCTAAGTCTGTGGCCTCCCACAGCACTTGGCCCCTCTCCTAGGACTTTATCATTGACTACTGCGTCATATGTGGGCATCTTATCTTCCTTCTAGACTGTAAGTCGGATGAGGACAGGGGCTCTATTTCAACTAAACCTGCCACCTCTCCAGTGCCACATAAAGGGAGATACTTAATAAATGTTTATTGTCAGTGATTCTTACAACAACCTTGTGAGGTAGCCAGTAAAAGTATTATTACACCCATTTTACAGGTGAGGAAACTGAGGTTCAGGAAGGGAAAGTTACTGGGCCCAGGGGTCATAGGACTAGTCAGACCCAGATTTCTTGACCCTTTCCTGCTATTTGAGTTCAAACCCCATCTATGAACCTATATTAGTTGTGTTACTCTGGCCAAGTGATGTCACCTCTCTGAACCTCAGTTTTCTCATCTAGAAAAGAGTTACTGATACACACTCCCAGACTCATGGAATTGTGATTAGGATCATAGGCTTGGAGCCGGAAGGAGCCCCAGAGGTCGTCTAGTCCAATTTTACATTGTACAGACTGGTAAACTGAGAGGGGAAGTGATTTGGCCAAGGTCATGCTGCTAAGGCTTTCTAAGTCTTAAAGCCCTAGGGAAAGGAGTGAGCTTTGTTATTAGAACACACAGTCTCTTCTCTCCAAGTATCAGTTTCCCAACCCGTCAAGAGTGGGCTCCAGTCGCTCCCAGAGGACAAGATTGGCAGCCCTTGAAAACACGGCAGAAACGAGCCCAGAGCAAGAGCCCAGCCAAGGTGAGAGGAGAGGAGGCTGGGGGACTGGGGAGCTCTGGCAGGTTCCCAGCCCCACTGCCTGCTGTCAGGGAGCACAATGGGAGCTGTGTGAAGGGGCCTGGGATGGGGCCCCGTGCCCTGCCTTCCTGGGGCCATGCATCAGGAATGCATGGAGATGTCTGAAAATGCCAGCGGCTCCTCTTCCCCCCTACCTCCCTGTCTGTCATTGCCCAAGAGAGGGAGGTTGGGATGGTGGCTGGGGAGGGGAGAGGAGGCTGGAGGCTGGGAGATCCTTCACTCCTCATTCCTATCAGCTTCTCATGTGCAGCCCCCAGCCCTCCACACATTCCTGTCAGGCTCCAGGCTTTCGGCTCAGAATAACTTACTGGGGATGAGGGTGCATATTGAAGCACAGAATATCATACCAGGAA